TTGGATAAAGAATGAAAGCGGAGAATAGTATGCAACAAATTTGCTCTGATGCTCCAAGCTGATGATTGAACAGCTTTCTACAGTGGCTGCTATTTGCATCTGTTCTCACATCTGAGACAAATGCGTACATTGTAACCATCCACATGTGAAAGTAGTCCCATAAGCCTTGACCTCAGCAGGAAATTCAGAATTGGGAGCTGCTGGTGAAGAACAGGGGTGTGTGCTTCCTTTCTGGTCTCTGTTTCCTCAGTGATACATTAGGAGTTGGGTTAGATCTGCGGTTTGCAGACTGGGTACCCAGAAGCCCCCACGAGCCCAGGCCACGGAAGGTTAAAAGAAACCCAAGATTCATCTGCATTAGATTGTGTGTTGTCGCCTAAGACACACCTGGAGTGAAGGGAGTGGTGGGTTCTGCTTCCATAGAAACAAGTAATGATCGACTTCATCGGCTTTCAGCTTTCAGTTTTATGCCATGAACACTCTGAATTTTGCATTTTGGCCTTTTCTCAAGGTGGCAATATATAGAAGAAAATCTGGGCATAGAGGCATGGGCTGGGAGGCAGAGCTCCCTGGGAGGCTGAGGCATGGGAATTGTTTGAACCCAAGAATTTGGGGACAACATAGCAAAACCCTATACACACACACACTGAGTATGATACAGTGCTAAGCAATGACAGCAAGCCACAACTCCCAGTCAGCCACACTATCAGCCACCATGGGGTGTGACCGTTAGGGTGTTCTGATGGCAGTCTAAGCAAGTGGGTGCAGCCGGAGGCCTTCAGGCTGCGTCAGCCCCTGGTAGCTGTGTATGAAGCCATAGGTGAGAACACCGTGTCACAATGTCAGGAGGTTAGACACCCTTGCCAGTGTGTCATGCTGTCAAGTAGGGGTATTTGCACAGTTAGATGTGCTCAGTGTGAGTGTTACTAAGACATCACCAGCTTCTGATGGGTTTCTCCCATGTGACACCCTCGTAAGTCATAGAGCATCTATAAATGAAGAAATTTAAAAGACCAAGAGTATACAGGCAGTGGTGGCGCACGCCTTTAATCCCAGCACTCAGGAGGCAGAGGCAGGCAGATCTCTGTGAGTTCGAGGCCAGCCTGGGCTACAGAGTGAGTTGCAGGAAAGGCGCAAAGCTACACAGAGAAACCAAACCCTGTCTCTCTCTAAAAACTGAGAGACAGAGAGAGAGAGAGAGAGAGAGAGAGAGAGAGAGAGAGAGAGAGAGAGAGCTCACCTGTAGCCACTTCCTGGTTTAACACTGCTGGGCATTGCTTCCCTCCCGCTTCCTTTCCTCCCGCCCCCCTTTCCTCCTTTTCTCTCCATCCTCCCTCTTCTACAACAATGAACTACAAGGGCTCCATCCTAAAGAACTCCCCCGCTGTGGTTGAACTTGAACTCGGAGCTGGAAGCCTGGTCCTCGTCCTTCAATGCTGTGGGGTCATACAAAGGAGAAGGGCAACTCTCTCTCCTACCAGTTCCCAAAACTCCTTGGGGTTTGTTTCATCATGGAGAAACGCAGGCTTTGCCACAACCGTACAGCACAGTTGCGAGGCAAACAGGCTGCCTCGAGCTGCCATCTTTAAGGACATTGCAGCGACCCTGTGGCTTTTATCCTGTTCTTTTCTGAGGCAGGAAGAACCACCCAAGTTAGTTTTTCTGCTCAGCGTGTGCTCTGAAGTTGCATCTTGGGAAGTCCGCTCACTTCTGTTCCTCTTTCTGTGGCAGTTTCACTGGGTCCCATTAGCACTTGCTCTAGAAGGCTCTGAGTCAGCCCTAAAATATGTCCATTCAGGACTATGACAAGTTCACTTTCATCCCTGCGGGAGGGAAGTGGGCAGATTTGATGAGTGCCCTGGAAGGCGGGTCCAGTGAATGCTCCATTCTTCCCATGCTCCCTGGGATCCTCCAAGGCCATGGGGGCATAGCTTGAAGAAAAATGGGACTGAAAACCTGCCCACACACCTCACCAGGTCCACGTGGGAAAACTCGAATGGTCAAGACCCTCAGGCATGAATTGACCTTGTCTGAAGTCTTTGTCCCAAGCTCTTCACAAGAAGGTCCTGAGTCAGGCTGGGACTGACCGATGAAGCCCAGAGAACTTTCCCCCATTGCTTGGTTGAGATTGGCATCGGCTGCTGGAGAGAACAGAGTCTGCGGCTGGAAAACAGGCTCACCTAATTGTGGACTCTCCATGAGGAGATCCTGCCTGATGCCATCAGTGCCTAGCAAGATACTTCCCAAGTGAACGTGGGCTCCAAAGTCCCTCTCCCCAGGAGGCACAGTGACCCAACAAGAGAGGGGAAGCTGTGTCTCTTCTATAAGCTGCTTAGAGTGTGAGATTTTTGTCTCCAGAGCGCTGGGTTGGAGGTGGGAAGTAGAGGCAGTCCTACCCAGACAGCCCCAGGTTCATCGAGGGTGGGGCTGCTCCCCAGAGGACTGAGCACACCTGATGATCTTTTCGTGGAAGAGACAAGAGCTCCAGGCAGCATCATATGGTGGGAACTTGCCTTGTGGGTAAGAGAGTTTACCCTCCAATAAGTGAGGCATCTTCTATTTCCTCTGAGGTCTTTCCTGAGACATTGAGACATGAATCCTGTAACCAAACATCTGTGTCCTGTTGGAGCTCCCCTGTCCTCGGAGGGCCCTGGCAAGTGACATCTTACCGAAATGGATAGCCCCTGGCCTGAGGAGTAGACTCATGGTGCACAAGCTAGAGAACCAGAGGGCAGACAGGCGATTGAGCTGCATTGTCCACGAGAACATTCCATGATGGTGTCTGAACTGATTCGCACTGTGTGACATAGTGTGACAGCTGAGCACTTACACTCTGGTTAGTGCCACCAAGAAACCAAGTGTTTAATATTTAGTCACGGGTCAAGTGCTTGCCTAGCAGACAGGCTGCCCAGGGTTTGGACTCCAAGACATTGCACAGCTGAGTGGGCAGCACATTTGGGAGGTGGAGCCAGCATGACCAGGAAGCTCGAGGTTATCCTTGGCTACATAGTGAGTTAGAGGCCAGCCTCGGCTAAGTGAGATCTTGTCTTAATTAAATAATTAATTAAACTAGCCATGGTGACTACTGGTCATCATATTGGCCAGTACAGTTCTAGAAAACCTGAGGAGACGCTCAGTAGCATTTGTTCTGGGGAGTTTTATCGTGTGACCTGCCTCACTGGGTGACCTGGAAGGTGTAACTTTGATTATCTCTTATAATTTTGTATTTGAAAAAACAAAAACTCATTCCTTGTCCTCTGTATAAAGGAGCATCCAGGTCAGCATTTATCAAAAGTGACCAAAGCTTTGAAGTCTGCTTCTGCCTCAGAGTCGCAGGGACAGATGCCGGCTAGGCAAGGTCTCCTAGCCACACTGACTTCTCTGAGGTGGCCTGCTCACCCCAGCCAACCAGGAAAAGAGAGTCTGCTAGGTAAGCCTCTGGGCACAGGATAATAATGATGATGACATTTGATGTGAGTCCCCACCTAGTATTGTCCCTGATCTTAGAACTCCGCCCAAGACTTCTCCAGTTTCTGTTAAATCCCTGTGGCTCAGAGTTCCCTGGTAGTCTGCGTGGGTTTTTCAAAGCAGGGACAGCCACCTCATTCTCTTCTTGATTTGGCAGACAAAGTTAATGGCCACTATGTGACCTCAGATGGCAAAAGGAGCTCTGAAGGTAGGACTAAGTTACAATCTTGAAAAACGATTCCCCTTGCTGACCAGTAATGGCGCAGACCTTTACTTCCAACAGAGGCATGCAGATCTCTGAGTTTAGGGCCAGCCTGGTCTACAGAGTGAATTCCAGAATAGCCAGGTCTACACAGAGAAATCCTGTCTTGGGGAAGGAAAAAAAAAAGACTATCCTGAGCTCTCTGGGTGAGCCCAATACAAATCACAAAGGTGTTCTTGAGAAGGAGACAGGAGGGTCTGGGTCACTGGTCGGAGACGGTGATGAAGGGAACAGGTTGGAGGGACTACAGAAAGAGGCTGAAAGTCAAGGAAGGCAATCAGTCTAGAGAAATTGAGGAGGGTCCTATGGTTTCCACGAAGCATTCAGCCCCCACCAATGCCTTGATCTAGACCTCTGAAGAGCAGAACTGTAAGATGATAAATCTGTGCTACATTAAGCCTCTTGTTTGGGTCATTTCTGTAAGTGTAGATGCAGACACACACCCCCAGGAGGGGGAAGGGATCTCCTGCCACGCCCAGGACAGGTAAGAGCCTCGAGGACCAGGCTTATTTCCTGCAGGTCCACTTCCCTCCAGTATGCTTTACCCCACAGCTGAGCGGCCTGTCCTGCCCAATAGGTCCCTGACTGCTGTGTGGGTCCTTCTCAGTGACCGACGCTGCTCTAAGGCTGGATCCTCCCACTGCCCTGTGGTCTTCTGCACTGGGCCTTGGGTGGTCTGAAGATACATCCTCCAGCACTCTCCTTCCACCCCCCTGCCCCCCACCGCACACACCCTCCTTTGCTGTCTCCTCCTTCCTCCTCCTCCAAAGCCAGAAGAGCAAGCAAGAATGGGAATCAAATCCCATTTCCAACTCAGGAAGGACCTGTCTCTGTCTGTCTCTCTGTCTCTGTATGTCTCTGTCTCTGTCTCTGTCTCTGTCTCTCTCTCTCTCTCTCTCTGGTGCTTATGATGACAAAAGCCTGTGGTGACAGTATCCCTCTGCCTGCTCCCAGCCTTGTAGTCTGAGCAAGCCCTAGAGGCTGCATTCCAAGCTGTCAGAGAGAGAGAGAGAGAGAGGGGAGGTGAATGTGGTGGTGCACACCTATGATTCCAGCATTCAGGAAGCAAAAGCAAGTGGATCTCTGGGAGTTCAAGGCCAGTCTAGTCTACATAGCAAGTTCCGGGACAGCCAGGACTATATATAGAGACTGTCTTAAAGAAGAGGAGGAGAAGGGGGGAGGGGGAGGAGGGAGAGGAGAAGGGGGGAGGTGGGGAAGACTACAATGATCAGGTCCCAGCCATCATCTGGAGATCTGGAAGTGTGGGGCCCATTCTGTGATAAATCTCTTGAGAATCTTTTAATCATCACAACCGCTCTCTTGACCAGGCTCGGGACATACACCTTGTGTAACATACCTAGGTATCCTGGCTGTTATCTCTCACAAACCTCAGGCTTCTGTGGACTCAGTACTGGAGAAACACATCTTGCAGCTGAGGTACCACATGTGGAATAGAGCTGCCATCTTGATGTTTTAGCAGACACAGGGAGAGTAGAAGAACCTCCAGCCAAGCTCAGTCCAGGTGGATGAATCATAAAAAGCAAACCTCTGTTAGATGACTAAAGATGGGTCCTTTTCTTTTCTTTATTTCATCTTCTTTTTTTTTTTTTTTAGCACAATGGAGGATAATTGAAGCATTCTGTACCCAGCTTCCAGCTGACATAGATGGGTTGTTTTCCCTACCTTCGGGCTCTTCTTGATTTCTTGGCCCAGCCCTCCCGTCCTCTCTACATCAGCTACCTGTGGCGCAGAGCTGAGAGTACCTACCCACCCAGTTCTTTGTGTAGCCAAGTGTAATTAATTAATTAGTCCCACACAAGCATTTCCATTGATCTCCAGTCTCCTCCTTTCATCAAGAACCCTTACAGCTGGGGCATTAAGCATTGAGCAAGTGTGACAGGGGCAATGGCAGATACAGAGCCCCACCTCTAGCTGTCAGTCACAGGAGATGCTGAAGGCATGGCTGCCATGACAACTGAACTCATCCAAAACAAACATGCTTCATATCTGTTAGGACTTCACTATGAAGTATCCCCCACGTGCTCCCAGACCACAGCTGATGGCACTATTTTGAGAAGTAGTGAAAACTTTAGGGACGGGGCAGAGCTGGAAGCAGTAAGTTTCTGGTAGAACGTGTCTTCCTACTCCATCATCCACTTCTGCCATGATGCTCCATGGCGCCCCGCTTTACCACGTGCCCAGAAACAACAGAACCAGCCATGGGTCAAGCCTTTCCTCTCTGGCATTGCTTATGTTGGGTATTTGGTCACAGTGGTGACAAAATTTATCAACTTGCCTGTGCTACCTGAAAAGCAAATCCCTCAACATGTCAAGGAGTGAGTGAGGCAAGGACAAGCCGGAAGAACAGATGCTTCCAGGTGCTTCCATTTGGCCAGATGCCCCAGATAAGAGTGGCTGCTCTGTGGTGCCAGCCTTCAGTCTCTTTCATCTCAAGCGGGGCTTGTGGAGGAAGAAACACATTTTGCTGGCCATTTGGGTGACTACTGAGGGACACAGCAAGCTCTTTTGAAGCATGACTTACTCTTCAGGTAAGAATCACAGCAGCACTCTCTCTCTCTCTCTCTCTCTCTCTCTCTCTCTCTCTCTCTCTCTCTCCTCCCACCCCGTGTGTGTGTGTGTGTGTGTGTGTGTGTGTGTGTGTGTGTGTGTGTGTGTGTAAAAACAAGGACTCACTATTTGCAGGGACAGGGGACGGACATTGTGTGTCCCCTCCAAGGCTTCCACTGCATTCTTCCATGCAGAGCTGACAGCTGTTGGTGACTTAGGCACATTTATTCATGAACCAAGGAACCTCCAAGAAACAGACCCAGACCACAGCTGCTTCCCTTTGGGACACCACCATCGAATGGGTCTCTCAGGGTCCCAGGTAAATCAGTGAGCAGGAAAGGACATGGCTTCTGGAGGAACAAATGTGAAGAGCCAAGAATTTGCACAAATGACCTTGGTCAGACCCTGAAGAGAAGGAATGTCTGAGGGAGATTTTCAATACACAGGGATCTCATGAGAAATAAACGAGAAATGGATATAATCATCTTTGGTGCCAGAGACTGGAGATCACCATAGTTCAAGGATATGATACATTTTTCTGTGGATAATGTCACTCAGGCTACTATCTTACTCAATAAACAACTCAATTATTCAATTCCATAAAATTTTGTTAAGGCTTCATGACCACAGCCAGCAAGGGAAATCAGAGGGGAAAAAGAAGGCCTGTGATAAGTTCAGAAATAAAAATGCATACCCAGCCCAGAGAACACCCTTGAGAGAAAATGAATGCCAGTTTCTGGGGTATTCCGGAAGGCTTCCAAGAGAAGGAATCGATGCGGTGAGTCTTAAAGGGTAAACAATGTGTTACTCCTGCAAGGTTGGGCTCACCTTTCTTTAGTAGCGGACAGCCCATGGTCTGTGGTTGCGCACCCCCCATTTAAAGATAGAAGCACAAAGCTGTGATGATGGATGAGGAGTAGAGATGAGTTCATGATCATCTCTGGTCCCCACCTGACCCTGGGACTAGCCAGTCTTCAAAGTCCCAAGTGTTGGCACAATGGGCTTGTCCCGAAGGGTATATAGTTTTGAGTAAATCTATGGACACATTAATAAGATAAATAGAATTAAGGAAGAATAGATACAACACATCTTGGGGCTGGGGAGATGGTTCAGTTGATAAAATGAAAACACAAGAATGTTGTTTCCATCTCCAGCAGCTTGGTTCAGTAACACATGCCTGTAAGCCCAGCACTGGGAAAGTAAAAGCAAGGCGAATTCCAGAGACTCACAGGCCAGTCCATCCAGCCAAGTCAGTGAGCTCTGTACTCAGTGAAAGAGTGTCTCAAAAAATAAAATACACAGTGGCTGAAGACATCCAGACATCTACCTCTGGCCTCCACACCTAAGCACACACCCCCGAATGTATACAGCCCCTCACATATATAGGAATGCTCATATACAGAGGAATGCACACACACAGAGGAATGCACACACACAGAGGAATGCACACACACAGAGGAATGCACACACACACAGAGGAATGCACACACACAGTGGAATGCACACACACACAGGAATGCACACACACAGAGGAATGCACACACAGAGGAGTGCACACACAGTGGAATGCACACACACAGAGGAGTGCACACACAGTGGAATGCACACACAGTGGAATGCACACACACAGAGGAATGCACACACACACACACACACACACAGAGGGATGCACACACAGTGGAATGCACACACACAGTGGAATGCACACACACAGGAATGCACACACACAGAGGAATTCACACACATAGAGGAATGCACACACACAGAGGAATGCACACACAGTGGAATGCACACACACAGAGGAATGCACACACACACAGGAATGCACACACACACACAGAGGAGTGCACACACACACACAGAGGAATGCACACATACAGAGGAATGCACACACCCAGAGGAGTGCACACCCAGAGGAGTGCACACCCAGAGGAGTGCACACACACAGTGGAATGCACACACACAGAGGAATGCACACACACAGTGGAATGCACACACACAGAGGAATACACACACAGAGGAATACACACACAGAGGAATGCACACACACACAGAGGAATGCATACACAGTGGAATGCATACACAGTGGAATGCACACACACAGTGGAATGCACACACACAGAAGAATGCACACACAGAGGAATGCACACACAGAGGAATGCACACACAGAGGAATGCACACACAGTGGAATGCATACACAGTGGAATGCACACACACAGAGAGGAATGCACACACAGTGGAATGCACACACACAGAGGAATGCACACACACAGAGGAATGCACACACACAGTGGAATGCATACACAGTAGAATGCACACACACAGAGGAATGCACACACACAGAGGAATGCACACACACAGTGGAATGCACACACACAGAGGAATGCACACACACAGTGGAATGCACACACACAGAGGAATGCACACACACAGAGGAATGCACACACAGTGGAATGCACACACACATAGAAATGCACACACACATAGAAATGCACACACACACAGGAATGCACACACACAGAGGAATGCACACACACATAGAAATGCACACACACAGGAATGCACACACACACAGGAATGCACACACACAGAGGAATGCACACACACATAGAAATGCACACACACACAGGAATGCACACACACATAGAAATGCACACACACACACACACAGGAATGCACATACAGTGGAATGCACACACATAGAAATGCACACACACACAGGAATGCACACACACACAGTGGAATACACACACATGGTGGGATGCACACACACATAGAAATGCACACACACAGAGGAATGAACACACAGTGGAATGCACACACACATAGAAATGCACACACACACACAGGAATATACACAAAGGAATGTATACACACACAGGAACGCACACACACAGAGGAATGCACACACACACACACACACACACACACGCACACACACACACAGGAATGCACACACATGGTCGATAAATACATCTGAAGCTCCTCACCAGCAACTGAGGAGTGATGGTGCTGGCTCAGGGCTTCCCTGAAGAGTGCTGGTCAGCACAGGCTGTGAATCATCCGCACCTGGGCTGGCCCTTCCTTACAACCTGTCTGCTGACAATAGGGAATGGAGCCGTCTGCCTGCTGCCCGTGGGTGGGGCAGCCTGAGCAGACATGGCAGGCATGACCCTTTTGCAGAAAGCCAAGCTTGTTTCTATCTCTTGAAAGGAACTTTAGCTGTTCATTTAAAGAGAGACAGGCAGGAACGTGGCTGTCTATGAGCTCTGTTTGACCACTGTTCTGGGGTTGTGATCCACAACTTTTCCATGTACTTCTTCAGTGGGTCAGAGATGCCAAGCGCACAATGGCACAATTACCATAGTTGTTGGGGTCACCCTCCATCAGATCTGAGCCTGTGAGGATGAATTGTACCCTGGGTGAGGTGGGGGCGAGGGCAGGGGTGCCCCTCAGCTCTCCCTAAGTGCTGACAGGGAGAAGGCTGCAGGAGAAGGCATCCCGGCCCTGGCCAGGAAGACTCAGGAAACAAAGAGGAAGGTGGCCAGTCAGGAATCAGAGAGGGATTGAGATCACACACACTGCAGCCCTTAGAAACCGGCTTAATCCATTTTATAAAGAGTTGGGAGGGTTGTCTCTCCCTGAATATAATACCTTGAACATCTGATCAGCTTTTTCCCAGAACATTTCAAAGCTCTCTGCAAATACAGTGGAGTCTCTTCAGATTAGAGCATGGCCCATTATTACCTAGCTTTGGAGACACCCCAGGTCAGCAGTTCACCTGGGGCCCTCTGAAATAAGACTGAATCCCTACAACAAAAAGCCTGGTGTGGTGTGGTTTATCTAACTAGTGGTTTTCAAACTATGTGAGTCATAGGACCCTTTGGGGGTAAAAAAAGCCTGAAGTTCAATTCTTAATACAGAGCAAAGAAGAATTACGTGGGTGAGGGCAAAAATCTGGGACCAGGGGCACAAAGGTGGGGTCTAGTACACACCTCATCCACTGGGCCCCAGGATTCCCAGGAGAGCATTATAGATGCCTGTTAGACCCTGCTCCCCACCCCAGAGGCAGGTGTGTGTGTGTGTGTGTGTGTGTGTGTGTGTGTGTGTGTGTGTGTGTGTGTGTGTGCAGGTGTGCCATGTGACCCGAGGTCAGAGACAGCTTTACTCAGGACTGGTTCTGTCTTTCCACCATGGGATCCAGGACTTGAACTTGGGTCATCAGATTGACACTGCAAAAGCTTTTACTCTCTGGGCCATTTTTCTGGCCCCTGTGGATAAAAATTTTTACCATGAAGAGGGAAAGGCATTAGCCCAGACATAGGTCCCTTCCCAGGGCACTGCCATGCACACAGCTCTACTTACAAGGCCGTGGAGACAACCTGCTTTCATGTCCTTCAAAACCGATATCTGTTCTTGCAACTTTCCAAAGGACTACCAAAACAATCAAATAAATCCCACTCACCTGAGAGTCTTCTAGATTAGTCCTTCTGGGCCCCTGAGCACAGGCTGCCCCTCCCAGGTGCTGGGCAAGCTTCCTCTTCCTTCCCCTCCCCTCCCCTCCCCTCCCCACAGACTGAGTTTGTAAACAGAAACTACAGCAGGCAAAACTCCCGTTGTTTATTCAAGGTTTCTAATGAAACACCCTCAGGAGAGGCTGTGAGCCAATCAAAAGTCCCAGAGATTTCAGCAGGACTGTGCCAGGGGGCTCCTTGAGGGACTAGGTACATACACACTTCTTTTCTCAGTCCCCCCAAGATGCTAGGCCATGGTAAATACTAACATTGCACACCATGGATAAAAACACTCTCTCCAACCAGACAATATCTTTATTAGTCTCTGATTCCACCACATACAGGACGAATGGCAAACCTGAGTGCTGCTTTGCCTGGACTGGGAAGGCCTTCACTCTGTGATTCAGGTCCTCTGCTGCAGGGCCATACTCAGTACTCTGAATGCATGTTCTGACTGGGAATTGGG